AAATTAACTAAGAGGCATGGGATTATGCGCAAAATAACTTGTAAGATGATACCAAAGTATTAGTGTTGTGAGGTGCAAAATAACTTATAAATTCGTGGATCTAAGCTTTGGTGTTCAGTATGTGGGATACGTTTGACCATTGGCACGTTCTTTAAGACATGCTTAGGTAGTTCACTGGTACATCGAATCATCTGGATCAGGTACTCAAACGAAGGGAATTTCTATGAAGTTGATTGGTTGCTAAACGCGAGGAAAGTTGGCACAAAGTGAGGTTGTAACATGATTTATATCCTGTGGTGTCGTTAAAATTATATTTGAACGATGTTTGTAAATCTCCATATGGACCAAAGAGTTAGGAAGGAGCACAATTGACGGTTTCAGTTCCGAACATGACATGCAGTCCACTGGCACTTTTCTTTCAGACTGAAGGTAAAATGTTGCAGATAACCAAACAACTGAATCATTGTTTCTAATGTGGATCAAATATAAATTATTTCAGTGAAGTGATTGAGTCTAATCAAAACTGTTTGCCGAAGTATTTTTTAAATTATCAAGTGGGATTATCTTTGGAGAACATGCAGTGGAAGGTGAACGACTGATTTCACTGATTTGTGTTCCGCTTGATACAAATCATTTAGGGGTTATTGTGTTCCAGCGGTAACCTTTATTCGGCCAAAGGTCAAGAATGTCTGAATTGGAGTGTGGACATGGATAAGGAGGTGGGGGTGGTCCTTATCAAGAACACAAAACTGTAACATTTGTGTATGCGGAATGTGGGACACTGTTTGTACAATCGATTCGCGACCATTTTTGCCACAACTCGTGAGCTAATTGTTTTTACACTCGTTGGCTGGGCGATANGCGGATGATAACGGCCTTTGTAATGGATGACATGTGAAAACGTAGCACCTTCGAATAATGAATGCGTGGACCGAGTATCCTTTATCTTTTGTAGTCGGTTTGAAGCAATATGAGTTACCGCTGTTGGTTATTCTTCCACTGATTTGAACATGCGTGAGTGACAAGTTGAAAATAAAATAACTTATGTAATGACGTCTACACCGGAATTGTTTTGATAGTTCTGTGTAGGCTTGGAAGGAAATATTCGAGGACCTAAGTTAACCTGTTGGGAAAATATAATTTCTACTATCCATTGATAAAGAAGCCTTTCCAAAGATATATATGAATATGTTTTAGACCATCATATATCAGTTGCTCATGACAAAATGAAGAGCACTCATCCCCTGAAAAGTGTATATGAATCGTGAGTGTGATCGGTATTCGATTTACGGAAACGAAAAATACATGTGAATATTTTGGAATTTGCGTGAGTGCACGTTCAAAGGCAGAATCGTATGATATAAATGAACCATTATTTTTGATTTAATGTATTTGTCCGGTAAAGGAACCCCAAATGGTTGTCGAAATGGTATTATATATTCCCGCTATTTGTTTATGACAAACGGTTTGTTTCATTGATGGCGAAGTTATTGGTAATAATTTGTCTCCAGGGTATAATTGCTTCTGAGAAAGTTCACCGATGGATTTTGATTGAGATCTTTAAATATCCATCCTGTTAGCTTTCGAATTTGCATTCGCTTGAATGACGCATGAGAACATGCATCTTGGGAGCACCTACCAGCTATACATCATTAATTTAAAAGATAACGTTGTTATTCTATTAACCATTATGTGTCTGTCTCATTAAGTGATCATTATCTTGTTTTCTATCGTTCCAGGCACTCGTTTGGATACGTGTTTTCGAAGCAGATCCAGAAGATGGATTACCATTGTGTTGGGCATTATCGAGATATTCTGGTTCAGTGGCTACTTCTACGGATTCAATGCATTGATTAAACCGTATCAATCACTTGGTGTATTTGACTGGTTCTGTTCCGGAACGGATTGTACTAAACAGGAAAAAATGTTCAGTTACGCGTTTATCGTGGCTTCGGTGTTTCAGCTATGCCTGATTCCTTGCACGGGACTTATGCTGGACAGAGTTGGACTACGAGCGACAAAACTGTTCGCGGTCGCACTCATGTTTTGTGGTGGCATGATGTACGCGTTCACCAGTCGCCCGTCTTCGGTCTTGCTGTTCTTCAGTGGTCCGTTGGTATCTTTAGGCAGTCTTTCAAGCATGTTGTGCAATTACACCATAAACGCCATGTTTCCTCGATTTGAAGCCATTGTGATTGCCCTGATATCCGGGGCATACGATTCCAGCTCGGCAATACCGTTCATTATCGTCAAAGCGATGTCCGTTATGTCTCTTCAAACTTCCTTTATTATTTTGGCATGCGTGGGATTGGCCTACGGTATAATATTTGCTCTAATCTTTCTCACACAATACGCGCCGGAGATGGGTCAGGTCTGGAAGCCAAAGCCAGATGAATCTGATTCGTTCCCGAAACAGTCAAAAGAGCAGGAAGTGAGTTGAACCTTTTTAGTTACTGTGACACACTGATGTCCACATGTATCTGATATTTCAAACAAAACAAAAGAGTGGTGAACGAGTTTCTGTCCTAGATATTCGTATTCATGCCAATACATCTCAATAAGTATCACCATTTGGGAATAAAATTGTCTTGGGAAAATAAACTGAAACAAAGATTGCTGGAAACGAGTTCATTGTGAGACCGGAAATCGGATTCACCGCCATCACATATTTGTTTGTCCATTCATTCGGTCATCGAGATTACTCGTGATGCAGTGTGCTGGTGTGTGTGGTGAACCAGGGAAGCTTCAGCGCTTGCACAAATTGTTTTTGGGTACACAGAGGGGGGTTGTGCAGACGAATGCCTACCGCGTCTGCTGTAGCTAGCATCTGACAGTGAACCTATCTCGATAATCGTCCAGGAACTTTATACAGGTGGTGGAAATCCTCGGTCACCTGCATAGGGTGATTCGTTTCAGCTAGGTGTGAAACCACTGAACGGGTGAGTGACTTAATTGTCTTCGTGTTCTGATACACGAACAAAATAAGAGGATCTTACTATATCCTATGAAAAGCAAGTGAACTTAGTTTGTCACTGTTTACTTGAAGTTGTAGGAGTTATTGGTAATTTATTTGTTCAGTGTGTTGTGGCGAAAATACAAATATCCTTCCAGGTTACTCAGGAACATTATTCAAGGTGACAAAATGTATTACTCAAGAATAATTTTTAATTAATTCCAAGGGGGCCATAAACCTGGAGTGTCATATGATATATGCAATACTGAGACCAGTATTCAATGTGTTCGTACGTTGTGAAGATCTCAAATCTGACAGTTAGGTTTCGCAAATGAGTTAATCTAGAAAAATTAAGGGAAATTTTGAACCTTAATCCCCTAAAAACGCTCCGTGTAAGTGCAACATGTGAAATCACTGCAGCAAGAGATCACTGGACTCACATAATATCGTTCTGAAAAGTCCAAACGTTTCACTTTTTTGGTGGAAAGGGCTTTGAGCTATGGCACACACTCATTCTTTAAAATTTAACGGGGTGTTCATCCAAAGCCGTTCATAAACAATAGTCAAGATCCACTGCTAAATGTGTAGTTGCAATAATGGTAATAAGATTTGAATAGAGAAGGTAGCATAGCTACAGTGCCTATTTTGATCTCTCTTAACCGACGAGGTGTTGCTTCATGAACAACTGTTTGGCCATTGAGGAGCTCCGTGTTTGGTATCCACAGCCCTACTAGTAACCGGGTTCACCGAACCCCACACACAGCAACCTTGCGCGGAATCCAGTTTGAGATGTATTTTAAAACTTGAACATTACATTGCTTTTGTGCCCAAGTAGTTGGCACCGCACCGACACGGATTGATAGATCAAATTTGACTTGGCCTACTGAACAGATCCTTCTTTTCACGGGAGGGGGATAGGTGTTTGTCTTGATTTGTGTGCATGACAAGGCTTAGTTGCATGGTAAGTCCGATTGACAAACTGTAAAACATTTTAGAAATGAACTGGTTGCCTTATCGCTACGCCATGCAAACTTTGCCACAATAGGCGGCAGTTTATAATGCACCATGAACAAGGCCTGTTTCCGGCTTTTAGGTTTCGGTCTCCGTGGAGCACATTATATACTGGATTTTTTAATTTCTCATGTAGGAGCGGAAATTTTGATATCTTGTTATATTAGATAGAGAGTTTCCGTATGATTTCGAATGACAACAAACTGTATTTAGATGAAAAGATTGGTTGTGTCAAGTGCAGGAATGCGATGGGTTCTATTGAAGCGACAGATCTGTTAATCTATTGTTCGCCTCACTGGGGTCTCTACCTGATCGTTCCAGCCGTGTTGTTTGCAGCATAAGCATTTCACTTCACACATCTGTGAGTGATGCACACTGCTTTGTTCCTCAGACCTACCCGTGTACTCAGGAGATTTGAGTAGCGCATTCGTAACGAATCAATAATCTTTTAGGATGATTTTCAAGTGGTCAAGGTCGTCCAAACAGCGACCTAGGTGTCTCGAATTCGAACCCGTTCACTGCCGGTCATCTTGCACATTTCTTTATTTCCTCAGACAGCCTCNCTCTTTATGGCTGTGGTCCTCTTCGTGAACGTTGATTGTACATTTTTTATGCCCAATAAACACAACAAGGAAGTAACTACATTTGTTCATTTAATTTACGCAGATCGAAGAGGAGGGTCAAGAAGAATTGGATGTGGGCAGCAAAATAAACTCGGTGGTTGCTGCGAAATATCCGACGCTACAATCGTGTTTTAGATCGTGGCCTTTTGTGCTTCCCTGTCTGTGGTTCATGCTCGGTCTGCTTCGGTTCACGTTATTCCTGAGTCAACTTTCCGCCCTACTGAAATATGCATTCGACAATGACATGACCATTGTAAACAATCTGCTCGAAGTCTCCTCCGCTTTTTCCATGTGTGGATTTTTCGTGGCACCAATTACCGGCGCTATCATGAGCACATCAATTATGGCATTCAGGCGAAAAATTGCTCGTCGCTTGGATAGTGTTGATGAAACGCTAACAGATAATGTGATTTACTGGACCATAATTAAAGGTCTGGTTCCTGTGGTCACTGTGTTGGCCACTGTCTCACTAATCATGAGCTGTGTTGTGTTTGTCAAAGGAGCACAATGGGTCTATTATTTGGCTTTCGCTTGTCTTATTGTTATGCGCTCCATTCTCTTCAGTTCGACAACGACCATGGTAATCACTGCATTTCCCACGGAATATTTTGGAACTGTTTACGGTGTGATTAATCTGATTGGCGGGGCATTCAGCCTGCTTCAATACGGTCTACTGGAAATGAATATCAAAGTTTCCAACGGAATTTGTGTAGCAGTGTCCCTGCTCACATTTTTCCCGCCCATATACATGAGCATTCGTAAAAAATGATGTTAGTCTATCTTGTATTTCAACTGTAAAAACACATTTTACATGTACACAGGAACAAATCTGAGTGGAATGTGCCAAGTCATTTATCTTGATTAGACTTGTCATTCAACTCAACTGTCCTCACAAGATGACCACTTTTGCTTTTATCCATCAAAGAAAAACAACAGTTCTGATCCAAATTGTTCTTTGTTGCTTTTGTTTTTGTTGATTTATTTTGCTCTCACAGCAGATTGATCGAGCCACGAGGCTGAACACAACTAGTTTGACCGTGGTGATAGTTGTCAGCAGAGCGCATACCGTGGATTCGTGCTGGATCTGTAGTCTTGAAGATTCAAGTTTGTGTTCTCATTAATTGTTTTTGGAAACGTATCACTTCAAACAACACGTACACATACAAGTACTGTTGTTGTACTAGAGACGACCAGTCCGATTCAACGCATGAGTGGATGTGCTTGATGTGTCAACATAGGGATTTGCTAGCTGTTGCAAAACGATTTTGGTGAATATTATAATTCGAAACTTATACAACCATAGTTTCGTTCGCGGAAAGTAAATTCGTAAGTCTAACCTATTAGGTCTTGTTGTGAGAGGCGTTCATTGATGATCGGATTGATACTTGTGATCAGTAGATAATGCCACGTTTGGGTTCACTGCCTACGACGATTTTGGGTACGGTGCGTTTCGGTGATAGACAATAGACGTTGTTTTTGGCCCAAAAGCAATATTTGTCAGATATGGATACGCTAATCTGGTATTTGTGTCATGTGCGCTCCTGTCAACCGATTGTACAAGCGATTACAACCGTGTTGGGCATACCTTCGCCTCCACCATGTAAATGAAAGCAGGTCCTCACAGTCACAGGGTAATCAATCAATAAAAGTCACAAATTTCTAGAGTAAAATATCGTTATTTATGCGAAGGATGGGGAATATCCACAAGACTAAAATCTCACGGAGGAGCCAAAGAGAGGGAGAGCAGACGAAATCAAATTATTTCTTGTGAGAGATCGTGCCCATGACTAGGATCATGCGTCACTTTTTCACCGATTCGTCTTCCCTTTGGTGCGTTCAGCGGTCGTTTTTACGTTCACTTACAGTTCGTGAATATCAAAGAAAGAGGTGGAAATAAGAGAGAGCGTGATATCTTGAATCCTCACGTCATCCCACTTCCAGAATCGGAAAGTGAGACACCGTTCCTCGGGTCGGTTTGTGGCCACGGTAGTTGCAGTGAGTGCGTCACCTGCCTATGTGACCATATGAAGTTTCTTGCAGATTGAAAAATCACGTGAAATATGCATCCCAAATGCAACTTTATTAATAGAATAGAATTGGCATAAGTATAGCAACCTTATTTTGTCTAATGTAGTCATAAATTAGTTTTATTATTTCCATGAGTGTTATGTTACTATACACTAATACTACATTGAGTGAAAATTTCTGATGGCCTTCGGTGCTTTTCTGATCCAGCATATGTTGCTCGCAAGGGAGACATCAATTTACAAGCCTTTATTAGAATAGCCCCAATTAGGTGCAACCTGACGTAACAGGCAAGGTAACCAGTGCAACAGCTGATCATCTGGCTAACACAAATCACCGAGTGAACACTGATTCTATATCCAGTGCCCTCTCATTCATTTATACCATAGTTGCTTTATACTTCAGCTAGTGCTGAGGCGATAAGCATCCACTTAAACATACGCCAATTCAGTTCGCAAAAGTTACTGGATTATGCTCACCAGGGAATCAACCACACAAATCGCGTCTTCTCTCCAGAAGTGGAATGATGAGGCTGGGATTCGCGGCCGCCATGCACAATCATTCCCGATCTCATCGATATCCGGAATCCGAGTTATGAAATTTTGACACTCAACAAAATGATTGAGTAACTTGTAAACTCACTTAGCCCCTGCGCGGGTTTGCAAGTGATACATTGAGAACATTTACTCCCACTTAACTCTTAATCCTGGAATGATATTGTGCATCAATCCTATCCCCTTGCACTTCAAGGAAATCCGACATTTTCACGAATGAAACGGCTAAGAATCATCCAGCAGACGGTGTTTGCGAATCGAAGTGTATGTGGTGGGTGTAGGATCAATTGCTTTGCATTCCTGACTGTTTACTCCATAGGCATGATTGGATCGTGTGACATAACTTTGCATGTCGCGTAGTTAATTCCCTTGATGTTTTAACCGCATAGAGAAACAAGCGTTAGTTGACAGAGAAATGGATTATCCCACCCCAAACAGTTACATTGCTATTACTACTCAAATCTGTGATCAAAATCGACTGTTTCTTGTCAAAGGCACTGCGTGAAAGTAGAGAAACCGTCATCCTGAATTTCTTTAAATTCAAATTGAAATGCCAAAGGGTCTCAATTTCGATCTGATCAATGATTGACCAACCCATGAAGTGAATAGGGAGTTTCTAAACCGCTAATCGACAGTTGCGTTGTTCTCGGGCGAAAACATCTAGCATCATGATATAAAGGGCGGAATTTATTTCCTAGTAAGTGATGACCGTCGATGATTAATGATTGTGGGGGGGGGGATGAAAAACGGCGTGTTTTAAGTTTCCCAGATATACGCTACATAAGATGACTGTAAACCTGGCTTCTTCTCTGCATCTAAAATTTTTTTCCATCGGACGGTTATTTCGTAAAGCGCTATCCCCAAAACGTTCTGGATAAAAACATCATGAAAACATCACGAATGAATGATAGTTCTGCATTCATGTTGTCATCAGTGCATATTTTCGTCTGAGTGGCACAAAACTTCTGAAATGAAGATACTGGCCGCTCCTAGTCAGTTTCCCTTGTAGCAATTTGTGAATTCACTCAACCTGTCATGGCCATCCACATCCTCCTCCCGATCCCACCCCAAGTCACACAACTAACACGGACCAAACGTGAGTTCCGATGGTAGGATCAGCCATATCCGGTTTTTTGAAACTGAGGCAGAAAACAACAACAACAAAAATTTTCATTTGAATAATCATTAATTTTGTTTCCCTTTTCTATACACAATGATGTTATTATAAAATGTGACGTATTCGCTAATTGATGAGTCATCAAAAATAAGCTTTTTCGCTTAACTGCGTTTTCAATCAATGTGTGCTGTTCGTATAGTCTGGGAATTAAATCCAGTTCGCCTGCTCGCCGAGCTTGGCAATTTGCAAACATTTCATCACCAGTCGAGGTGACATCGTCAGTAACAGTAACACAGTCATGAAGGTGTATTCGTCAAACTCTATAGATGAGTATGCAATGTCTTTATTCTCCTCGAAAAATGGACTTTCATGTGCAACAGTATGTTGAAGTATCCACAAAACCAACATTCTAGAACAAAGAACCTGATAATATACTTGCCATTATAACAAAGCGAAACGATTTTTCCGCGGTTATTTCTAACAGATATTTGTTACCGCAAGATTTGACGCTGTCAAACAGCAATCGTGTGCATCAGTGCAATGTCTAAAGCTTCTCTGTTCACTGCATCCGGTGTACCATTGCCTAGCACCGCGAGGTACGCAATCACGTGATAATCAATAGTAGTCTCGTTGTGGATGAACGTTTTTGTGCAGCAACTGTAGACAATCTGTGGTTGTATCAAGTCTAAGCTTACTGGTATCACGTGTTTTGCTCAATATGTGCCCGTTTAGAGGAAAGCAGATCGAGTTTTTCGATTGGTTGGTCACTTTTACACCTATTCATTCCGGCACGGGTCAAATATTGCAACATGATCAAATTGTAAACCAACAAACTCACCTCACGAATGAATAGGTGCACTTCTGTTGTTAAAGAAAATATCTTATCGTGGTTAGACCGTACGCTCACCGAAGAATTTCAAAAGTCTTATTTAAGTTGTTGATTGATTATGAAGCTAATATATTAACATAGCGTTTCTTCCCCAGTTTCAAATTAACCCAGAGAAATCGATACCACCAGGCAATCATAAAATGTCGTTTCGAAGATTGGGTCCCAAGGAGAAAAACCAACCAAACGTCTCAGCTATGCTACCGTAAATCACTTCGTGTATCCCACGAAGACAGATCTGAATTCAAGTGCCCATCAAACTGGTCCATTTAGCTAATTGCAGAACAACACAAAAGTCGTTGAAAACTAAAATATATATCTAGTAATTAGTTGCTATTAGACACATCGGGATTTCCACAATGACATGTATCACTGTCTTAGGAAGAAACACTTCTGAAGCTAGCCATTATACACATTCCCAGTACTAAAATCGATAATGTATTAAGGTTGGTTGAAGATACTAGAGATATTAACTCATGGTGTACCAATTCACAATCCTTTTAATTGTCAAATGTGTGTGCTACCCTATAAGTGGGGAAATGGTGAAACAAAGATGGGGAGGACAAACAGTCGTCTGGGCCGCAGGCAAAGGAACATGTGCACGAAATACTGTCTACCTGGCCTTTATTGACGAATTTCCGATTTGTAAATAAGGCAACGATACATTGATTTAAGGAATTTACCACATGCATCGTAGTATTCTCCTAAAAGAAACTTTCGGGTTCACTGAGGCCTTCGGTTTTGGTATAATGGTGTAATGCGTCAGGGAGACAGCATTACCCCTGTAAACGGTTGACAACAGTCCAGTCAACCAACCGTTGGATATATGCATTGCCCTTTCGTCTCCCTCTCTCTCTCTCTCGTCGGTATAAATAACCATGATTTTTGCATAATAAACCACTCCCTGCACGCCACCACATGTGGAGTTCGTACCTGGACGAGAAACGTTACCAGAAGACAATACTTTGAGAATCCAGTACCGAGTGAAATCCTGTGGGATTAAAACACAATGATCGAAAATAATCCTGGCAAACGTCTGGGTTAAAATTTTGATGTCGTCAAACATTTCTCCTCGACCAAGTCCGTCTTTCAGAATCTGCATTGACAGCGCTTTATTCACAGTGGATCCGCAAAAGTCCACGTTTCTTGAGCGCCGTAAGTCGAACAACAGCTTTCAACGTAGATAG